ACAGAAGCAGTAGACTGACCAAACATATGGATGAGTTGCATGTTCATTGCATTTTTTCTCCCCTTATAGTCCACCACCCTCTGTCCCTCAGAACTCTGTTCCACCAACACTAGCTACAGAACAGGACAGAGTCTTCCCTTTTTTGCTTTATGGGTTTTTCAAGTAAGCAATAAGGAGGCACAGATGTGCCAAAGGTACAGAATGAAGAACTAAGTATTAGTGCAGGAATGAGGTTTTGAGAACCTGTGTCTAGGTCTCGGCTATTGCGCTGGCTCTGCCAATTCAGGGATCCCGAGACCTTGACATACCCTGGCTTGCTTTTGCTACTCCAAGTGTGTGTGTGGTGTGAAATTGAGCAGGGAGAAGACTAGACACCTGCTCTCATCTTTCATCCCTGAACGAACCTTAAAAAAGTCCTAGATTCTCAGCTAGGAGCATTGCAGGCTATGGGGTGTGGAGAATACAGATGAGTGTGTGGCTGGTCCAGGGCCTACTGCATACCAGTGAGTTGCTTCCATCCCTAAAGAAGAGCTTTCTCCTGGTCACACTCAAAAAGAGCATCACACTCACATCAAGAATCTCAATTACTCCCAACAGCAGAAACCGGGGCTGGAATCACATGCCCATTTTGCAGAAAAGCAAACTACAGCCCAGATAAGTGAAATAATTTCCCCAGCTATACTCTGCTGAATGGCAGGGTCTGAATTTGACCTCAGATCTTTAAAATCCCACCATGGGGCTCCCATTTAAGTGAAACTAAAATCCTTAGCTCAGGGCATCTCCTCATTTCTTCCAAACTGAAGCTGTTTAGGTCCTGTTTTCCTATGATGCCACCGTTTTGAGCAAGTCAGAGAAAAGCCCAGATCCAGTGTACAGCACTGAGAAGACTTCAGACGACTCCCTAAGAATTCGGAAGACTTGGTATGTAACGGGTCTCATACATAGGATTGATATTTCCTCACACAGAATCATGTGGGTTAAAATGCACATTACTAGGCCATTCTTGATTTACAGAGTCAGAACCTCTGGAGCAGGGCCCAAAAATCTATCTCCTAATAAGCCTTCCGGGGAGAAGCCGTTTTAATAGAGAGATGTTGGTTCTGTGATACAGTAAGCAAAGGGGACCAGGAAGCATAAAGCAAGGTTCCCTAAAGAATCAACGAATACTTCCCATGATGCTTGAGCCAAATCTTGGAGATTGCATGGGAACTGGCCTCTTTAGGAAAGAGACTAACCTGCTCAATCTTGTCACTGGAGGTGTGAATGTAATAGCCACAGGGTCAACGGTCAGGAGCAGTAGGAAGGAAAGCAATGGTCAAGAGACATTCAGGGGTGTCACAGATGCACCGACTCAACACAATGACCACATAACCTGAGTAGGATTATGGAACTATCACTTCCATTGTTCTGCTCTGAATAAGCCCAGAGCTGCTGCAGTATAGACTGAGACATCTCATTATCTTTGATGTTTCATGGGCTTCCCTATTCCCCAGTATATCTCTTCAATATATGCTAATCACACTTGAATGTAGAGTGGGTTTCTCACAACATGAAAGAATTACTAACATACTATGATTAGAAGTTTGGACTTTATCGTGGAAAAAAAATAGTTAGCTGTGGCAGATATTAATAGTCACCTAAAAACAGCCATTCTTCTTTGCTGCAACTTTGCAGCTACCTTCTTTGCTGACACACCCTATGGAGAGTGGAATTTCTAGACATTCATTGTCCCAAGTTCAGTTGCATCTAGGGAAGGGTCATGTGATTTAAGTCTGGCCAATGAGACATAAGAGAAAGTTCCAGGAGCATTTCTGGCCAAGATTTTCCTCCATAATAAAAAGAGAGCTATACTAGCTCCTCGATTCTTTTATGCTTTTATCAGAGTGTGAAAATGTTATTTTAGGAGTCATGGCCATCATCTTGTATCCAAAGATAGAAAACCAAAAGAATTTCAGAGGAACCAACTCATGCATCTGACTTCACTAAACTGATAACTAACTTTAAAACCAATTAATTTTGGATCTATTGTTTGTGAGAAAATAAATATATTTATTCTTTAAGCCACTTTAGCTCTGAAAGCTTTACTGATATAAGATCTATTTCAGTAAAGGGTTTCAATAAAGAGGTGGATATGACCAGTTTTGTGTTTTTAGAGGATTCTAGGTTAAGGTATGAAGTATATTTTGTATGGGAGAGTGAGAGACAGAAACAGAGAGACTAGTAAGGAAATTTGTAGTAATCAAGGCAAAAGTAATAGAGACCTGAACACACACATGAAAACCTATTATGTACTAAGCCAGTGATCTGAAAACATCAGTTACTCTCATATCATCTGTAACTTTTTTACTTGATACTATTTTCTTTAAATAGCTTTCTTTCTTAGTAAAATAAATTATCATATTTTTATATGATAGTCATTTTTTTAAGTGCACATTAAGTGACTTGTCTCCATTATTAATTATGACAAACTTTTTTTTTTTTTTTTAGGCAAGGCAACCCTTAGTTGACCTCACAGATTGCAAGGAACTGTCAGCTTGCAATCCCTTATTATTATTATTTTTTTTTAAATTTTTTATGCCTACAGCATCTGGTCTTCCTAGGTGGTCTCCCATCCAAGTACTAACCAGGCCCCACCCTGCTTAGCTTTCGAGATCAGATGGGATCCGGCTTGTTCAGGTTGGCATGGCCGTAGACGTGACAAACTAGTTTTTAAGAATGAATTCTCCAATTAAGAATAACTAGTAGCCTGGATAAAATAATACTTAAAACTCGGGACTTGAGCGTCTAGGACAAAAAAGAAAAGAGGAGTACGAAGATATTCTGCGATAATTTCCCCTTTGAGGGACTTACCGATTCTCAGGCGTGAGAGTGAGAAGCTGATCAGAACTTTGGGTAGTCTCACAGTCTGATGAGATGCGAAGTCAGAGTTTGGGGTCTGTAAACACCATGGATTTTCATTTGGGACCACGATGGGCTGGAGGTGTTAAGAGTAAAAAAATAAATCAGCCCTCTCAAGGAATGAAACCAGCCTCAAGTCAGCTTTATGTCTGATTACAACAAAGTACATTCCCGGTAGCCTAATTCATATTAGCTTAAACTCTTATCATTGCTCTCCCTGGGTCCTACAGTTCTGCTTTCTCCAGAAGCAGAGGTATGGTGAAAAAAATAACAACAGTGATACCTACTATTTATTAAGCATTTACTATGTATCAGATTCTTACTACTACACTGTGAAAGAGATAACATTATGATTCCAATTATCGATGTGAAAAACTGAGTCTCAGAGAGTTAAATAAATTGCCCACTGGCACAAAACTAGTACATGATAGAAATTTGACTCATCCTTGGCTGCGGAGCTGCAAGCATTCCTCGTACCAGCAATCTGTCGTCTTGCATTTCTAGCTGGCCTTACATGTACCACAGGCAGCACAGCAGTGCTGCTTTGTCAACAGTGCCAGTAGTACCTGGGTCTCATGGACCATGCCTGTGCTCCACTGGCAGGTCCAAGCATTTCCTCTTTTAGGCAGCAATTGTCAAACTTAAGTCTCTGGGACTGAGTCATAATTCCAAGGGCTCCCTTGGGTCACTTTCTTTCTGAGGCTTCTTGGTACCTACAGCTTTACCTCATCCCTCTTCATCAGTTGCTTTCTCCTACCATGGGGCTATGGTGCCGCCATCCTTCACATCCAACCTGATCTTTTCCTTGCTTTTCAGCAGACAGCTATCTTTTCTGAGTCCGTCCTGTTAATTTTCCTGACATTTATTTCAATAAAATTCAGTGCATCTGGTTGCATCATTCAGAGTAAGCTCGAGGCCAGGGAGAGCAAACTGTTTTAACCTCAAATGTTCTCTCCACCCAATTGATAATGGCTGCCTGGAGCACGATGGCTAGAAAGATTGTGAGACACATTCACACTCAGAAGTAGAGCCTGCCACGCTTGATGAACGATGTCTGATGTGACCATAGGCTGTGAGAGAGAGAGAGAGTGGTAATGTATACACCACATATCGGTCTCTATTGCTCTATGCTCTGGACACTTTTCACCTTTACCCACTACCGTGATTCTGTCTCTAGAAGGAGCAGTTCCACAAGGAGGCATGCCTGCTGGTCATGTTGGGGTCCTTTTATATTCATTTCAGAGGTTCAGCTTATAGAGGTTCAGCTGCTTGCTAGGAAATATCAGAACAGAGACATAAACCTAGGATCCCAAGAGCAAATTCTCTACTCTTTCTGCTGCCCTCAGGTATCTCTCCATAAGCCTTTCTACGGCTGATAATGGTTTATGAACCAAGAATTTATATACTCCAACCAACGAAAGTTTTTTTTCCCCTGAACTATGACTATTTTTATATGAGAAGCCTAGCAAGGTTATAAAAATGGAATCACATTTAGTTACACATTTAATGAATCACCTTCTTTATTGAAAAGAATCAGGTTACATGCAGTTGGGATGGTCCCTGAACGCCAAAACGTATCTTTTGCATTTGAAAAAAAAAAAACATGTATGAAAGAGGAGAACTGACTTACATCACTCACTCGACAGTGGCTGTGGGCACACCGAAGTAGGTTTTCTTTCTGTTTTGCCTTCGAGGTGTTTCTATACATGTCTCCCTCCCTGTCTTCCAGCCTCTCTCTAACGAATTCCCGCTGTGTTCAGTTTTCTTTTCTCTGCAACTTCAATTATTTCCTTCTCTCTCCGTGAGGAGTTTCAGTCAAATTAACAACTTCTAGTCCTGGAACTTCCAGAAAAGTAGGTTCATGGCTAACGAACTGACTTCTACCTTTGAACCAGGAAAATGTAGCGATTCACTTACCTATGCTACATGGTATTATATATGCTAATCCAAGGAAAAACTAAGAGGTTCGTGACAGAGAAAGCTGAAAATGACGAAATTTGGGAAATCTGGGACTGGGAGGAAGCAGAGAGGTCATCTAATCTACCCACTCACCTCAAATGAAAGCACAGAGAGACCCAGAGCACTGAACAGACATTAATGATCAGCCCGTTAGGGGCTGAATTACATTACGGCCCCTCACAATTGATGTGTTGATGTCCTGATCCCAGGGATTTTGATAGGCTTTTATTCATTCATTCATTCATTCATTCATTCATTTATTTTTAATGAAGTTTATTGGGGTAACATTGGTTAATACAATTATATAATTTTCAGGTGTACATTATCACTTGACATCTGTATATTCTATTGTGTGTTTATCACACAAAGTCCTGTTTCCTTCAGCTACCATATATTTGATTCTCTTTACCCACTTCACCCTCCCTCTACCCCTCTATATTTGACCCCCTTTATCCTGTTCACCTCCCCCCACCTCCCCCACCCTCCTAGTAACCACTAGTCTATAGTCCTCTGGTAACTCCTAGTCTTTTAAAAGCTCTCCTTCCCCTTAATCCCTTCTCCCCTTTCCTCTAATCTCTACTTTTTCAACTTCCTAAATGTCATTTCTACTTGTGGGAGGCCAAAGCAAGCTTAAAGGGTCTCCGCCAGCTCTTTCCTGTTCCTTCTATTTCCTTGTGGTTAGTTTTTGAGATTGATGGGCTATTGTTTTAGAAGCCAAAATGACTATTTTTAGGTTTTTGAAATTCTGTTCACATTTGCCACCCGTATGTAGACACAGAGACATGGGTGAATCCGTTCTGGTAGTGTAGAAACTCTAGAAAGCTCAAAGCCCAGCCAGAAATTCTTTGCTGAGCTGGCATGCATGGTATGTAGACTCCATCACAATGCCCCTGCACAAATCTGGTATTTTGAGCTGCTACCGTCCAGTGTAGTTGAACTGCTTAATGTCAAGCTCCAAGGCTGCCTCAGGGGCTGAGAATCAAAGAAGGAAAGGATCTTCTTCTAGGATTGCTACATATCCATTCTACTTGACCTGTCAGTCAGTGCAGAAGTCACCTCCACATTCTACTCTTAGAGATGTTAGAGGGACCTCTACATTTGATCCAACCATCTCGTTACATAAAGGAGGATAATGAGTCTCAAATGACATAAAATGACATATGTCAGGTAACTTGATACAACAATGGAAGGGAGATAGCACCTCGGACTCCCAATTCCAACTCTGGAACTCTTCCCATGTACCACGCCATGTACCTAACAGCCTCACCCTAGATGAGTTCTGGTTACTGAAATGTGACCCATATATGAGAAAGCTAAACTGCCCCAGGATGGGGGTTGGCAGATCTGGTCAATGCCAGCTAGGACCATCCAACACAGAACAGTTAGTGCCTGCTTCTCTTCTTTGGGCCATATCACAGCCACTCTTGTCAAAAAAAAAAAAGGAATCAGCACACATTTTAAGCATCACACAGTGGAGAGGACCTAGGCAAGTGCCATCCACTCAGCCACACTCTCTACAGTGTATGGTGATAACTAACCTATGCACAGCCTAACGGCTCTGAGAGTTGGAATCTGTCCAGGCCTGAAGCACAAGAAACCTGGGTCCTTATCCAACTCTGTAGCTTACAAGTTTGAGGCCTCAGGTAAAACACTTCCCCTTTCTAGTTAGAGTCTCCATCTGTGGTAGGCAGAAGAATGCATCCCTAACTCCATCTGCTCCCCACCCCCCTAAAAAAAGTGTTCATATTCTAATCACAGGAATCTGTGAATAGTTATCTTACACAATAAAAGAGGTTTTTCAGATGTGATAAAGAGATGGGAAGATTATATAATGCTCCCCTAGAGCCTCCAGAAAGAAATGCTGCCTTGCCAACATCCTTATCTTAGCCCATGGACACTTGTGTCCGACTTCTAAATAAATTCGTATTGTCTTAAGTCACTAAGTATGAGGTAATTTGTTACAGCAGTAATAGAAAACTAAGAATAAAATAAGTAATAATAAGTAATATTATTAATGTTAATAAATAAGCTACTTTAAAAGTCAGTTATTTAAGAGACTGCTCTCCAATGCACTGGCATTGTCATAGTCCAGGCTTCACTGTCTTTCACTGGATTATTACAGCATTCTCCCACAATCCCCCTGTCTCCAGCCACACTCCCCTGTGCATTGTCCACACTGGTGCCAGAAAGATCAGTCTTAAACGTGTTTCTGATTTCACAACAACCTCCTAAAAATCCTTTGCTAATTTATCATCTCCTAGATGGCTGGTTTTTACTGTTGTCTTCGTTTAATTCACTCAACCTCTTCTCTTTACAAGCCACCCAGCTTTGCTAAGTTTCTTAAGTATATGTCTTGCTGAACAAAGCCATTTAATTTCAGTGTGGGGCTGTTGGGGGGTGGGTGGGAATCACTTGCTGTTCTTCGAGTATGATACGTTCAGGGTAATAACCACCTTGACCAGCACTATGCAGTTTTGTTCTCAATTCATGACTCCTTCTCACCAAGGATTATCTCCCCATTGACCAGAGTGCCTATTTTTCCGCCAAGAACAGATCTGTTATCTGGAACACAACACTGTGCTCTAGATTATAAAATCATCCTGTGTTAACTGTGTCAATTGCATCTGAGGATCTCAAAATGCAACATAAAGAGCATGGAACCAGTGGTCAGAGATCTGTGTTCTGGCCCAGATGACCACCATGTGCCCTTAGACACACATGCACGTTTCCATGGCCTTAATTTCCTCATCTGTATAATAGAACAATTTGGACTCGAACATGGCAGGGACTCTCTAGATTGAAACTTTATTATGTATAAACTTATATATCATCCTAAACCTCACTGTATGTTTACTAGTCCAGTGTATTTTTCCTGCTTGCAATTAGGAAAGCTAGAATTCTGAAGGCGATGTAATTTGTCCAAAATTGTTCAGAACACCAGAGTATAATTTAAATTTTTGCATCCAATTCATTCATTCATGCAGTCAATATGTTTTTTTTTAATGTGTGTTATATGATTGCCACCACACCAATGATTGAATAATAATAATAATGATAATAATAATAATAATAATTAATAATAGTAATAATAATAGAATAGG